CATGTTCAGGAAACAAACTGCTTTTTTTTCAAAGTGGCAACAGGTGAAAGGAACTGATTCCTGGGCAAACTGCCATTTAAACCTCAGAAGCACTGTGAAAAGGGCATTTGCTTTCTAAGCTCTACTTGAACTTATCACCAAGTTTACAGATTTCCAGATGCTTGTGGGGAATCAGAGCTGCTAATCACTCTCTTAGGCCTAAGGGCAAAGATTGCTAGAAGCCTCTCAGAAAAGTGCTTCAATCTCTGCCAGGCAGAGATCTACAAAGAAGAAGGAATACAGTTCCATTGCATAGAAGAAATGCACTTCTCTAGTAAATGGACAGAGTTGCAGCACCTTGGTGTGTGCAGTACTTGACATTCAGGAAACAAACTGCTTTGTTTTCAATGGCGTAACAGGCAAAAAAACTGCTTCCTGGGAAAATTGTGGTTGAAATAACAGAAACACTCTGAAAAGTGCATTTCCATTCTAACCACAAGTTGAACTTATCACCAACTTCACAGAGTTCCAAGTGCTTGTGGGGAGTTGGCTCCACTAAGTACTCTGTTAGGCCTAAGGGCCTTGCTTGCTAGATGCCTCTCAGAAAAATACTTTAATCCCTGCCAGTCAGAGACAAATAAAGAAAAAGGAATACAGTTCCACTCTGTAGGATAAGTGGACTGAACTGGTAAATTGACAGAATTGTGGCCCCTTTCTAATGACTTCACGTTTGGGATGCAAACTGCTTTGGTTTCAGTGGGGTAACCAGCAACGGAAACTGGTTCCTGGGAAAACTGCAGTTTAATGTGCAGAAGCACTCTGAAAAGTGCATTTGCGTGTTAACCTCAACTTGAATTTAACACCAATGTTGCCGTGCCTCAGGGCCTTTTGGGGAGTCAGAGATAGTAAGCACTGTGTTAGGACTAAGGGCCTTTCCTGCTAGAACCCTCTCAGAAAAGTGCTTCAATTTCTGCCAGGCAGACAATTACAAACAAGAAGGAATACAGTTTCACTCCACAGCAGAAGTGAACTTCACTGGTAAACTGACAGATTTATAGCCCCTTGCTCTGTGGAGTACTTCACATTCAGGAAACAAACTGCTTTGATTTCAAAGGGGTAAACCATGAAAGAAACTGTTTCTCTGGAAAAATTGTGGTGTAAACCACAGAAGCACTGTGAAAAGTGGGTTTGCTTTCTAACCTCAAGTTGAAATTATCACCAAGTTTACAGAGGTCCAGGTGCTTGTGGGGAGTGCAAGCTGCCAAGCACTCTCTTAGGCCTAAGGGCAAAGCTTGCTAGAAGCCTCTCAGAAAAGTGCTTCAGTCTCTGCCAGGCGGAGTCCTACAAACAAGAAGGATTATAGTTCCACTTCATAGAAGAAGTGGACTTCACTGGTAAACTGACATTGTTGCAGCACCTTGCCCTGTGGAGCACCTCTCGTTAATGAATCAAATGATTTTGCTTTCAGTGGGCTAAACCAGTGAATGAAACTTCTTCCTGGGAAAACTGTGGTTTAAACCCCAGAAATACTCTGTAAAATGTGTTTCCTCTCTAACCTCAACTTGACATTATCACCAAGTTTACAGAGGTCCTGGAACTTGTGGGGATTCAGAGCTGCCAATCACTCTCTTAGGCCTAAGGGCCTTCCTTGTAGAAGCCTCTGAGAAAAGTGTTTTAATTTCTGCCATGCAGAGACCTACAAACAAGAGGGAATACAGTTCCACTAAGTAGGAGAAGTGGACTTCAGGTGTAAGGTGACAGAGGTGTAGCCCTTTGCTCTCTGGGCTAACTTCACCTTCAGGAAACAAACCGCTTTGGTTTCAATGGGGTAACTGGAGAAAGAAAGCGATTCCTGGGAAAACTGCTGGTTAAACTCCAGAAACACTCTCAACATTGCATTTGCTTTCTAACCTCAACTTGAACTTATCACCAAGTTTATGGAGGTGCAGGAGCTTGTGGGGAGTCAGAGCTGCTAAGCACTCTTTAGGCCTAAGGGCAAAGCTTCCTAGAAGCCTTTCAGAAATGTGCTTCAATCTCTCCAAGGAAGATACTTAGAAACAGGAAAGAATACAGTTCTGCTCCCTAGGAGAAGTGGACTACCCTTGTAAACTGATAGAATTGTACCCTTTGCTCTGTGGAGTACTTCATGATGAGGAAAAAAACAGCTTTGGTTTCAATAGGATAACCCACGAAAGAAGTGCTTCCGGGAAAACTACGATTTAAACTGCAGTAGCACTCTGAGAAATGTGTTTAGTTTGGTACCTCAATTTGAACTTGTCACCATGTTTATAGAGGTACAGGTGATTGTTGGTAGTCCGAGATGCTAAGCACTATCTTAGAACTAAGGGCAAAGCTTGCTGGAAGCCTCTCAGAAAAGTGCTTCAATCTCTGCCAGGCAGAGATCTACAAACAAGAAGGAATAGAGTTCCACTCCATCTTGGAAGTGGACTTCATGGGTAAACTGACAGAGTTTCAGCCCCTTGCTCTGTGGAGTACTTCATGATCAGGAAACAAACCACTTTGGTTTTGATGGGGTAACTGGCAAAAGAAACTCCTTCTCAGGAAAACTGCAGTTTAAACCACAGAAGCAGTCTGAAAAGTGATTTTCCTTTGTCACCTCAACTTGAACTTATCACCATGTTTACAGGGGTGCAGGTGATTTTGGGGAATCCAAGCTGCTAAGCACTCTCCCAGGTCTAAGGCCAAGCTTGCTAGAAGCCTCTCAGAAAAGTGCTTCAATCTCTGCCAGGCAGAGACCTACAAACAAGAAGGATTACAGTTCCACTTCATAGAAGAAGTGGACTTCATTGGTAAGCTGACAGAGTTGCAGCCCAAGGCCAAGCTCTAGAAGCCTCTCAGAAAAGTGCTTCAATCTCTGCCAGGCAGAGACCTACAAACAAGAAGGATTACAGTTCCACTTCATAGAAGAAGTGGACTTCATTGGTAAGCTGACAGAGTTGCAGCCCCTTGGTCTGTGGAGTACTTCATGTTCAGGAAAAAAAAGTGCTTTGGTTTCAATTGGGTAAGGAGTGATAGAAACTGTTTCCCAGGAAAACTGAGGTTTAAACTACAGAAGCAATCTGAAAAGTGTGTTAGCTTTCTAACTTAAACTTCAACTTATCACCAAGTTTACAGAGGTCCAGGTGCTTGTGGGGAGTCAGAGCTGCAAAGCACTCTGAAGCCTAAGAGCAATTCTTGCTAGAAATCTCTCATAAAAGTGCTTCAATCTCTGCTAGGAAGATACCTACAAACAAGAAGGAGTACAGTTCTACTCCCTCGGAGAACTGGACTACCCTGATAAACTGATAGAATTGTACCACTTTCTTTGTGGAGTAGCTTCACATTTAGGATACAACCTGCTTTGCTTTCAATGGGGGTATCTGGCAAAAGCACCTGCTTCCCAGGTAAACTGTGGTTTAAACCACAGAAGCACTCTGAAAAGTGCTTTTGCTTTCTAACTTCAACTTCACCTGATCACCAAGTTTACAGAGGTCCTGGTGCTTGTGGGGATTCAGAGCTGCTAAGAAGTCCCTTAGGCCTAAGGGCCTTGCTTGCTAGATGCCTCTCAGAAAGGTGCTTCAATCTCTGTCAGGTAGAGGCCTAGAAACAAGAAGAAATACAGTTCCACTCCCTAGTAGAAGTGTACTTCACTGGTAACCTGACAGAGTTGCAGCCCCTGGTTTTGTGGAGTACTTCAGCATCAGATAACAAGGGGGTTTGGTTTCAATGGGGTAATTGGCAAAAACAACTGCTTCTGGGAAAACTGGGATTTAAACCACAGAAGCACTATTAAAAGTGATTTTGCTTTGTCACCTCAACTTGAACTTATCACCATGTTTACAGAGGTGCAGGTGATTGTGGGGAGACCAAGCTGCTAAACACTCTCTTAGGCCTAAGGGCAAAGCTTGCTAGAAGACTCTCAATAAAGTGCTTCAATCTCTGCCAGGCAGAGAACTAAAAACTAGAAGGAATACTGTTCTAATCCCAAAGAAGAAGTGGACTTCCCTGGAAAAGTGAGAGAATTGCAGTCCCTTGCTCTGTGGATTACCTTCACTTTTCACAACCAAACCGCTTCATTTTCAATGTGGTAACTGTAAAAAGAAACTGTTTCCTGGAAAACTGTGGTTTAAACCGCAGAAGCACTTGAAAAGCATGTTTACTTTCTAACCTCAACTTGAACTTATCACCAAGTTTACAGAGGTCCAGGCACTTGTGTGGACTCAGAGCTGGTAAGCACTCTCTTACGCCTAAGGACAAAGCTTGTTAGAAGCCTCTCAGAAAAGTGCTTCAATCTCTGCCAGGTAGAGAGCTACAAACAAGAAGGAATACAGTTCCACTGCATATTGGAAGTGGATTTCACTTGTAAGCTGACAGTGCTGCAGCCCCTTGCTCCGTGTAGTACTTCACTTTCAGGAAACAAACCACTTTGTTTTCAATGGGGTAACCTGTGAAAGAAAGTGCTTCCCAGGCAATCTGTGGTTTAAACCACAGAATCACTCTGAAAAGGGTTTTTGCTTTCTAAGCTCTATTTGAACTTATTACCAAGTTTACAGAATTTGAGATGATTGTGGGGAGTCAGACCTGCTAAGCACTCACTTAAGCCTAAGGGCAAACCTTCCTAGAAGCCTCTCAGAAAAATGCTTCAATCCCTGCCAGGCAGAGAGTTGCAAACAAGAAGGAATACAGTTTCACTCCACAGTAGAAGTGGACTTCACTGGTAAACTGACAGAGCTGCAGCCCCTTTCTATGTGGAGTACTTCACTTTCAGGAAACAATCCGCTTTGGTTTCAATGGGGTAACCAGCTAAAGAAACTGCTTTCTGGAAAACCTGTGGTTTAAACTCCAGAAGCACTCTGAAAAGTGTTTTGCTTTCTAACTGTTGTACCCAGATCTCAGTTTCCCCAAGGACCACCAGAAAAACGAGTCTGCTGCAATTACAAGAGAAGCTTATTTCAGGTTCGAACCTGGACTCTTGTCCACCAGGGAGCAAGAGCCCAGAATTGTGATTACAACAAGGTGGCTTGAAATCCTGTCTATTCTATTGGATATTGCTGGGGTGTTAGCAAAAGCGGGAAGAAACATTGAGTCTAGGGGATGGGGAGTTTGGTGAAGGTTAGGGAGTTTGGCTCATCTCCTGTGGGTGGTGGTTATCTGCACAGACTGTCCTATTTTTTTCTCCTTCTTTTCAAGGTTGGAATGGCCTTCCTCACCCACTTGGTTCTGCTTTTATTTCAACTAAGTAAGCTAAACAAATTTCTGCTGCCTGAGCCCATGGGGGGGGCAAGTCTGACACCGGATGGCTTTATAGCTCAAAGTGGAGTAACTTTGGCTCTTCATTTCCCCCTTCTCAAGCAACTATTAATGCCCAATCTTGGGGATTATGGGTGTCATCCTCAGAAACTGCTTCCTGCTGAACTGGGGCAATGAGAATCCTAGAAAGAAACATTATTCTTTAAGCTTATGGGCATAGGTCCTTGGTCAGGTTCAGCATTTTTTATGCCAGTGATGGTAGTCTTGAGCCAGTAGTTCTAATTTTATTTTACCCCTAGCAGGTTGTAATAAAACTTTAATGGCCAAATCCTGTAATGACCTTGGGCTAGTGAGAGGAACAAAACATTATGAATACATTTACAAGCTGGTTGTGGATTTGTTAATAGCCTAGGCTTATCAACTTTCAATTTGGGAGCATATAGCCATCGAACTTCAGGTCTCAAGTGATATGAAGGCTCTAGTGACTCTAAAAATATAACAATCCAATATAGCCATTGGAAGAGGCCATAATCCAGTGGAGTAAATTGCCATGGCACAGTGGGGGTGTGACAGAACAAATGGACCAAAAAGTATCCCAATGAATGTATGGGAAACCAGCTAATATGGATCCCACCAAGCATCCAGCACAATAACGTGAAACTAAGGTTGTGTCATCTAGCCTAATTATCTTTGCTCCCAGGGAGAAGGTCTGGGTGGGGGCACAATGTAAGCAAGATCTTTGGGGATAGAGGCTCCTTAGACAATGTGCAGTCTCTGGGTTCACCCATCACTCTCTGATGTTCACGAAGAAGGACTGGAACCCCAACAAGAATGGATCGTAGGTTCTGCATGTCCTAGAAAGGGGGAGAATGTCTTACAGTGGAGATTCAATATTAGTGTCCCCATCCTTAGCAGGGATGTGCTGGTATTGCTGATGAAGCACCATGAGCTGGATTGCATCTATCCTCTGTTGAATGAAAGCAACCAGTGTGTTAATTATACAAGGTCCTACTATTAACAAGATTAAACCCAGAATTAAACAGCTGGCCAAAGCTGATAGTAATGATGTGATCCAGGGAGATGAGGTGAACCAGCTTTCATACCAACTTTGGTTATTTAATTATATTCTTTTACATTTTTTTAATCTTTCTCGAACTTTAGCCATTGAATTTTTAATTATTCCTGAATGGTCAACATAATAGCAACATTTTTCTCCTAGGGCTGTGCACATTTCTCTTTGCTGTTGGAACACTAAATTTATTCCCCTCTTTATTTATAGAGTTACCTCTGCCAAAGAATTTAAAGACTCTTGAAGCCTGTTAATAGATAATTCTATTCTTTTTATATCTTGATTTATAGTTGCCCTCAACTGGTTATACTGATAATGTTGGGAACTAATAGCAGTCACTCCTGTTCAGCTCCCATCAGTCCCATTCCTAACAATACTGTAAGGGTGATGGCAGTAGCAGGCTCCCTTTTATTTTTTTTTTTCTGAATTATTATAGCTACTTTGTCAGATATTCACATTGCCTTAAATAACTATATTATATTATATTTTTAATAAGTTTGCCCTCTGCTGTGAGAAGACCACACCCATATAGACTGTGCCATAGATATACCGAGTGGCAATCAGGAATCTGTGTAAACATTTACCCTCTTTTCTTTTGTCCATCAGAGAGCCTGTATGAGTGCCCATAGCTTTGCTCACTGCACTGACCATCCAGTGGGGAGGAGTCTTGCTTGGACCACTTCATCTTGAGTCATCTCTGCATAGTCAGCATAGCATACCCCATTTTTCATGAAGTTGCTCCTATCCTTGAGCAGGACGAAATCAGCTTCAGTCAGTGGGTCTATCTGCAGATCTAGATGACTGGAGAACAATTCGTCAGTGACCCCGAGGCAGTTGTGATCAGGGGGCCAGGTTCTGAGGACAAAAAGTAGCAGGGTTTAAGGTTTTAACTGGAGCAAAATATAGGCAGGGATTCTCACAGATGAGGGCCTGATATTGTGTGAGTATTATTTGAGAGCCATCAATGCCCGGTTATTCAATAGTTCTAAAAGGCATGGGAAAACTGAACAATCTATTTTTTCCTAATGTTATCTGGTCAGCTTCCTTATTAGCATCACTGCAGTTGTCAGGGCTTATAAACAAAGAGCCATCTCTTCACAACTGGATCTAAACTCTAAGATAAATATGTCACTAGCTAATTTTATGGACCTACTCCTTGAGTGAGCACCCCTAAAGCAGTATGATTTCTTTCAATCATGTACAAAGCAAAAGGCTGGGCCACATTTAGGATTCCTAATACAGGGGGCAACACAGAGAGTTAGTTTTAGCTGTTTAAATGCTGATTCTTTCTCTTTACCCTATAATAATCACTATCTTTCTGGCCCTTTAAAGATTTATACATATAGAAAATCTAGATCCTGTGAAAACCTTTAATCCCAAAAATTCTCTCACCTGCTTTAAGTTCTTTTATCTCCAGGCAGCATAAACTTTATATTTTACCTTCTGGGTTTTTTTTTCTGGTACCTGGGATTGAACTCTGGTCCTTGTGCTTGCAAGGCAGGCCACTGAACCGCTGAGCTAAATCCCTGGCCCTGATATATTTTGCCTTCTGAAGCAACATTAATAGTCTCTCAATACCCTGTTTTTTGTTTTTTTTAGTACATCAGAAAATTATTAATAATCATAATTTCATGTATGAAACTTCATAACATTTAATCTAATTAGGTATCAAAAGCATTTTAATAGAACCTCTTAATAAGTATTTTCCACAGAAATCCTATTTTGAAAATGAGTACTATAAACATGTCACAATAACATATTTAGAATTTAACCCTTTGATGATAACAAATGTAAAATTTTATAACAACATATTTAGCCCTGTTTATTGGTGGTATCTTCTCAGAAAGTCATTAGTGAATAATGACCAGAATAAATTTTTCTCAGTATCTGTCCTTTTACTATTATCAGAAGTCTATTTAGACCTGAGTTTATACTTAATTATCTTGACAAAATTTAACTTATAAAACAACGTTATAGAAATTAACAAATTATTAGTATCCTTGCTGTCATTTCAATCAAATATAATTAGACAAACACTTTTCAGACAATTGTATAGACACAAACTTGTAAGACAATTTGTGAAACTATAATATGCTCAAATGTATTTGGCCAATTGAATTATAAGGCATGTGGCAGCACCATTGAGTTAAATAAATCTCCAGCCCTAGAACCTCTTTTAGTTAACACTAGTCAAAACTTTTGCAGATCAATTAACAGATCTCATAGAATTAGAATCAAAAGGAATGAAAGCTGTTACTATAAAAGTAAACCTTCTGTAACAAACTTGAAACCAACAAGCAAACATACATATTTTCCTGTTAAATCATTTCCACATACCTTTTCTACATACTTAAGCCTTCTGGTCTTGTATATCTTTCTTTATATCTTTCTAACAAGACATGCATACAAAATCCTTTTATATTAAAAGTATATCTCTTTTACCCATAGCTTTCTTAATATTTTTCCTCTGCCATCTCACTTACTATAAACCTTCTATAATAAACTTCAGTTTAAAGTGTCCTTTTTTTTCCTGTTCTCAGATTGTTACATTTTAAATTTGACTGGCTGCCAATAGAACAGTATTAACCTTGAGTTTTTATCAACAAAGTACAGAAAAGAGCAAGTTAACCTTATAATCACAATTCAAGAATTTTCAATGCACAAGAAATGTTTAAAGCACACCAATTAAGCTTAATTCAAATTGAAACAAAGATACATTTATCAAATAGTTAAAATTTATAACTTGATTTCTCTTGTAAAGTCTCTTTTGATGTCTGGTAAAACACAATTGCAATTTCTCTGGCTTTGTTTTGGATTCCAGACCCTTGCAGGCAGCATCAGGCTGATAACACAGTGTTGGCCTTGGGGCTCTTAAAGCCTGGAGTGTTTTATTCATTTATTTTTTTATTTTGCTGTATGCTTTTCAGAGATTTCCTAGCTGCTTTCAGTCCATCAAAGATTTATTTTATTTTAGTTTTTTTTTTAATCTTTGGTTGCACTTTCATCTTATAGTCCCCCATAAAATTGTTATCAAAATTTTGAATTATGCACTTAAGAACAGTTGGTTTAGTATTAGCATTCTCCATGACCAATAGATATTGTCTTATCCAGTGAAGCAAGACAAATAAAGGGTGGGATGCCATTCCAGAAAATGGCCTTGCTCATTTACCGGGAGGGTTCTTTAAGTGCAAGTGCCCCCTCCGTTTGTTTTGGTGCACAGATGGCTTTTGTAGTTCTTTTTATTTATTCTCCTAACCAAGTCTCTTTCACAGATAGTCATACAAGAGGTTAGTACATTCCCTCCCTGAGGCCCCTTCCAAAGACAAACTAGGGAGCAACCCAGGGGATCTCACCATTTAGACAGAGGATTTTATCCATTCATTTTCTTTCTGTTCCGCTACCGGTGAGCTGGCCTCCACATCCTAGAAAGGGAACCCAGGAAATCCTGGGCGCACACCTTTTCCCTCCCAAGGAGGCAGACAGTTGCTTGCTCTGGTGGGAGTCGGGTTGACACAGGGAGCGAATCTTTCCATGAGAGAATTTAACCCCGTAATCATCCTCTTGCTCAGGGGAAAAAACCAATTTTAAAGTTAGTGAGAAAGCAATCCAGCAGGGTGTTCTTGGAACTGGATCCTAAGAATTCTCCTCCTCTTTGGTAACCAATATTGGCTCCAGTGGCTGTGAGGGCAAAAGAGATTTTAACAGGTGAAGGGGGGGGGTGTTATTTATTAACTCTTTTTAAACAACAATGTAAGGGACCTGGTCAGGATGGCTCTGAAAAACAATCACTTTAACTTTTCATACAGTCTCCAAATCTAGAGTTTCCCCTAATGGCCAACCCACACCAAAGCTTGGCCATTCAGAATCACACAAAGTCTGATATTTTCCTCTCTTTATCTCTATTGATAGGTTGTGGGCCCTTGACTTAATTTCCTTGAAATGTTCAATCATCAAAGACAAAGGAGTAGCTTACATTTGTCCCATTCTGTCAGCGTCAGTCACCATCTAACACACACAACACAAAAACAAACCAACACAGAAGCAACAATAAGTGAACAACAAAACAAAACAAAACAAATCTTATTCTATTCGAGATGAAAAAAGAAAAAGAAAAAAAGATAACCTTGGGAGTAGGACTGCACCTGAGATTCAAATGATCCCCCTGGCCTGCAGTCCTGTCATCCTCCCTTCTCAGAGGGGAGGAACATCTTCCTCGCCCCCAGCCAGTTGGGCACTGTTCGCTACGCGTCCATCACAGTCCTGGTTGGTACTTTCCACTTAAAAGAAATATTGAAAGAACACAAAATCAAAGAATTACTCACATAAAAGAGCCGGCAAGTCTTCTCCGGAGCAAGTTCTGGGGAGTCCTTGGAGATCCCGGATGAGCCCCCAAATGTTGTACCCAGATCTCAGTTTCCCCAAGGACCACCAGAAAAACGAGTCTGCTGCAATTACAAGAGAAGTTTATTTCAGGTTCAAACCTGGACCCTTGTCCACCAGGGAGCAAGAGCCCAGAATTGCGATTACAACAAGGTTATATAGGGTTAAGGTGGCTTGAAATTCTATTTTATTGGATGCTGGGCTGTTAGCGAAAGCAGGAAGAAACTTTGAGTCTAGGGGAGGGGGAGTTTGGTGAAGGTTAGGGAGTTTGGCTCATCTCCTGTGGGTGGTGGTTATCTGCACAGACTATCCTGTTTTTTTCTCCTTCTTTTCAAGGTTGGAATGGCCTTCCTCACCCACTTGGTTCTGCTTTTATTTCAACTAAGTAAGCTAAACAAATTTCTGCTGCCTGAGCCCATGGGGGGCCAAGTCTGACACTGGATGGCTTTTTCGCTCAAAATGGAGTAACTTTGGCTCTTCACTAACCTCAACTTGAACTTATCACCAAGTTTACAGAGGTCATGGGGCTTGTGGGGAATCAGAGCAGCTAAACACCCTCCTAGGTGTGAGAGCCTTCCTTGGTAGAAGCTTCTCAGAAAAATGCTTCAATCTCTGTCAGGCAGAGACCTAGGAATAAGAAGCAACACAGTTTCACTCCCTAGAAGTAGTGGACTTCACTGGTAAACTGACAGAGTTGCAGCCCCTTGCTTTGTGGAGTACTTCACGATGAGGAAACAAACCACTTTGGTTTCAATGGCGTAACTGGCAAAAGAAATTGCTTCCTGGGAAAACTGCAGTTTAAACCACAGAAGTGCTCTGAAAAGTGGTTTTGCTTTCTCACTTCAACTTGCACTTATCACCATGTTTACAGATGTGCAGGTGATTGTGGGGAGTCTAAGCTGCTAAGCACTCCCTTAGGCCTAAGGGCAAAATTTGCTAGAAGCCTCTCAGAAAAGTGCTTCAATCTTTAATAGGCAGAGACCTACAAGCAAGAAGGAATAGAGTTCCACTCCATAGAAGAAGTGGACTTCATTGGTAAACTGGCAGTGTTGCAGGCCCTTGCTCTGTGGAGTGCTTCACCTTCAGGAAATGAACTGCTTTTCTTTCAATGGGGTAACCTGTGAAAGAAACTGCTTCCCTGGGAAACTGTTGGTTAATCTGCAGAAACACTGTTAATATTACTTTTTTTTCTAACCTCAACTTGAACTTATCATTAATTTAAAGACATCCAGGCACTTGTGGGGAGTCAGAGCTGCTACACACTCTCTAAGGCCTAGGGGCAAAGCCCGCTATAAGCCTCTCAGGAAAGTGCTTCACTCTCTGCCAGGAAGAAACCTAAAAACAAGAAGGAATGCTGTTCTACTCCATAGAAGAAGTGGACTTTACTGATAAACTGACAGAGTTGTAGCCCCTTGCTCTGTGGAGTACTTCACATTCAGGAAATAAACCACTTTCGTTTCAATGGGGCAACCAGCAAAAGAAACTGCTCCCCTGGAAAAGTGTGGTTTAAACCATAGAAACACTCTGAAAAGTGCATTAGCTTTCTAAGCTCAACTTGAACTTATTACCAAGTTTACAGAGGTCCAGGCACTTATGGGTAGTCAGAGTTGCTAAGCACTCTCTTAGGCCTAAGGGCCTTTCTTGCTAGCAGTCTCTGAGAGAGGTGCTTTTAAATCTGCAAGTCAGATACCTACAGGCAAGAAGGAATACATTTTGACTCCCTTTCACAAGTGGACTTCACAGGTAAACTGACAGAGTGGGAGCTATTTGCTATATGGAGTAACTGCACATTTTGGGCACACCACATTTGTTTTCATGGGATAAGCTATCAACAAAATAGCTGCTGGCAAAACTGCACTTAAATGGCAGAAGACCTCTGCAAAGTGCATTTGCTTTTTAACATCAACTTGTACTTTTTGCAACATTTCTAGCCCTCCAGGTGCTTTGTGGGAGCCCGAGCTGCTGAGCACTCTCTTCAGACTAAGAGTCCTTCTTGGTAGCAGGCTCTGAGATAGGTGTTTCTTACTCTGCCAGGAAGAGACCTACAGCAAAGAAGGATTAGACTGTGACTCCCTTTCAGAAGTGGAGTTCATGGGTAATCTGACAGAGTTGCAGCTAATTGCTCTGTTTTGTAATTGTACGTTTTGAACACAACTGCATTGGTTTCAATGGGGTAAAGCACATATCAAATGGCTCCCAGCAAACCTGCACTTTAAACTGCAGAAGCTTTTTGCAAAGTGTGTTTGTGTTCTAAAATCAACTTGTATGTATCTCAGTGTTTCCAGATCCCAGGCACTTTGTTGAGTCATAGCTGCTTCAGACTAGCCTAAGCTTCGGTGTCTTTCTTGGTAACAGCTTCTGACATAGGTACTTTGCACTCTTCCAGGGAGAGACCTACAGACTAAAAGAATACATTTCAGTCCCATTCAGAAGTGGAGTTCACTGCTAAACTGAAAGAGTGGCAGCTCCTTGCTCTGTGGAGTAACTGTACATTGCGGACACAACCACATTGGTTTCAATGCAGTAAAGCACTCTGCAATAAAGGCTGCTGGCAAAATTGCACTTTAAACAGCAGAAGCACTCTGCAAAGTGTGTTTGTGTTCTAACATCAACTTGTATTTCTCTCAACATTTTCACATCTCCAGGTGATTTGTGGGTGTCCAAGCTGCTGAGCACTCTCTGGACTAGGGCCCTTACTTGGTAGCATGCTCAGAGTTAGGTGCTTCTTATTATTCCAGGCAGAGTCCTACAGAGAAGAAGGAGCACCCCGTGACTCCCTTTCAGAGGTGGAGTTCATTGGCTAACTGACACAGTGGCTGCTCTTTGCTCTGTGGATTAACTGCATATTGTGTACACAACCACATTGGTTTCAATGGGGTAATGCACTCAGCAAAGCATCTGCCCACAAAACTGCACTTTAAACTGTAGAAGCACTCTGCAAAGTGTATTTGCATTCTAACATGAACTTGTACTTATCCAATGTTTCCAGCTCTCCAGGCACTTTGTGGGGGTCTATGCTGCTGAGCACACTCTTCGGGCTAAGGTCCTTTCTTGCTAGCAGCCTCTAAGATAGGTGCTTCTCACTCTGCCAGGCAAACACCTACAGATAAGAATGAATACACTGTGACACCCTTTCAGAAGTGGAGCTCCTGGTAAACTGACAGAGTGGCAGGCATTTTCTCTATGGAGTAACTGCACATTTGGACACACAACCACATTGCTTTCCATGGGGTAAGTGCTCAGTAAAATGGCTGCCATTAAAACTGCTCTTTAAATACAGAAGCACTCTGCATTCTAACATCAACTTGTACTTATCCCAAAATTTCCAGCTCTCCAGGTGCTTTATGGGAGTCCAAGCTGCTGAGCATTCTCTTCAGACTAAGAGCCTTTCTTGCTAGCAGCCTCTGAGATAGGTGTTTCTCACTCTGCTGGGCAGACACCTATAGAAAAAAAGGAATACACTGTGGCTCCCTTTCAGAAGTGGAATTCATGGGTAATCTGACAGAGTGGCAGCTAATTGTTCTGTTTAGTAACTGCCCATTTTTAACACAACCGCATTGGTTTCAATGGGGTAAAGCACATATCAAACGGCTGCCAGCAAACCTGCACTTTAAAGTGCAGAAGCACTCTGCAAAGTGTGTTTGTGTTCTAAAATCAACTTGTACTTATCTCAATGTTTCCAGATCCAGGCACTTTGTGGGAGTCGGAGCTGCTTTGGACTACCCTAACCTGGGTGTTTTTCTTGCTAGTAGCTTCTGACATTGGTACTTCACACTGTGCCAGGCAGAGACCTACAAACAAGAGGGAATACACTTTGAATCCATTTCAGAAGTGGAGTGCACTGGTAAACTGACAGAGTGGCAGTTTAAAAATTAATATTTTTATGGCAGTAAAACAGGATTGTGTCATACTAGACTGTAGGATTTTGTCATCCTATATTAGATTATGCTACTGAAATGTACAACACGTAGATTGTGTCTCAGTCTTAACTGTTGTGCACTTTGGGTGTAAACTGACACTGATTGAGTGCAGCAAAACTATAATTGGATGTTGATGATAGAGGTAGTGTAACTTGGAGGCAGATACAAGGAACACTTCTACAGTATGAATTCTTCTGTGAATTTACTTTTATTCTGAAAATGAAATGACTTTAAAAATTCTTGCTTAGAGCATATGGAAGGGCTTCTATGATCATGTGTGAATCCAAAATGATGCCATAACACACACACTGCCCAGGGACACTCTTGGTGTCCTCCATTTAATCAGGACACACATTTAGATGTCAGTGCCTCAGAAGCTGAGGAGGAAAGGGAGTTAGGTGGCAGAGGAACCTCCCTCCAGCCTCCACCAAACACTCCCAGTGAAGCTAAAGCCAGGCTTCATCTGAGCAATGCTCTGAGAAGGTGGAGAAAGCAAGGTTGGCAGCTGGGGTAGCCCAGGATCACACTTCTGCTCCCTGGGTGGTTTATGTCATGGCTTGTATCACTGTGCGAGGTAAACTATTACCCTGCTGACAATAATAAATTCCAATATCTTCAGCCTCCACATTGTTGATGGCAAGAGTGTAATCTGTCCCAGATCCTGTGCCACTGAACCTTGCTGGGATCCCAGATTCCAAATTAGATGCTCTATAGATCAGAGGTTTAGGAGCTTTCCCTGGTTTCTACTGAAACCAGGCTAAGTATTTACTTATGTCCTGACTCACCTGACAAGTGAAGTGAACAGTGTTTCCTATGGATGCCAAATGTGAGGATGGAGACTGGGTCATCTGGATGTCACATCTGGCACCTGAGATTAGAAACATAACAAATATCAGCACAATCATGATAAAAAGGGGGCTGGAAGATCAGACCACTCTGACCACACTAAATAGAGCCTATTCCCAGTTCAATCTTTCCTTACCTTGGAGCCAGAGCAGCAGGAGCCCCAGGAGCTAAGTGGGGGCCCTCATGTCCATGCTGTGTCCTCACTGGCACTGACTCCTGCACAGGGTGTGAGCAGCCTATGAAGAAGGCCTGGGGGGGTGGTAAGCTGTGCTCTGGGCACATGCAAATCATCTGAGCTGGGCAGGGATGGGCACAGCTGCAAGGCTGACTCCTCTCAATGCCAGACCAGCATTCTCTGTGGTCCCTGTCCAGACCAGGGCAGCACAAATTTGCCTGTAGAGAACATGTTTCTCCCCTGGGGCACAGGACACAATCAGGCTGCTTTTCCCTTGAGTAGAATGAACTATTGTTCTCATTTTCATTCAGAGCAAACTTTGCATCTCTAAATAGAGATGTCTTCTTTGGGTTCTGTCCCCTCCATCTCTGAATTCACAAGGCCACTTCATCCTTGTTTTCTTCATGGCTCCCATATTCAGAATTGCACTCCTGGTTCTCCCACTGACACAGTCTCTTTACTGACCCAGAGGTTGGACTCTAAGAATCCTGCTGGAAGGGCATCATAATTAGTGTTATGGTCTAGATGTCCCCTAATTCTCATGTGAACATAGGTGACTTTTTCAGGCGTGACTAAATCTAGAGTGTGTGATGCTGGGATGGAGGGTGTGTGATTACTAAATCATTATATTGATTCCTTTGGCACTAACCTAATCCTGGTAGCCTGAATACAATATTTGGGACAGCAATAGCCTGGTTTTTACCCTTGTTTGTTACTTTTTCTGTCTTCTGCTTGCCATGAGCTTCTCTTTTGTGATGCTGCTCTCCCAAACCATCCTGCTTTGGAACCAGACAATTATGGACTAATTCCTCTATACACCATGAGCTAAATAAACCTTTACTTCCTTAATTTTGAGGTACAAGTTTTTTCTCTCCATAAGGACAGAAATGTAACTCAGACCATCAGGATCTATTACCAAACACAAAGCAAAACGGGAAATATTAAGAAACTGGTGTGGGGGGGGACACAAGGCCCCTTCTGCATAGAGTCCCTGCAGCTGTGTGAGCTTAGACAGCTGAGCAGAGAGCTCCCTGCCTCAGTAGCTCCTTAAAGGGAAAGTATCATTTCTGCCATCCCTGTGTTTCTTGGATGAGATCTCTGTGCTTTGTTTACCTTGGGGGTTTGTTCAAACTGAAGATTTGTGTTTCAGAACTTTTATGGTTTGGACCCCAGTGCATTTCTGAATATTTCTCCCCTGCTCAGGAACCTGGACCTATTCTCCCCATAATCAGGCAGGATTCTGTTGAAAATTGAAGTAATTCTTTTCAAATAATCATCCATGTGTTAAGGACAAAAGACTAACAAACAGATCACTTGGAATTTTGAAAAAATAATAGGAACATGTCACTGAAGATCCAGGTATGTGACCACATGAAATTACAAAGATGTAGATTTAGGAAGGGGCAGGGTCCCGGATTATTTTGGAACAACAAGAGACATAGAAGAGCAAAAGCAATTCTAGGCAATAGAGATAGGGTAGAGGATATCACAGTCCCCAAATCAAAACTATACTACAAAACTATTGTGATAATAACAGCATGGTAAAGGCAAAGAAACAGACCTGAGGATCATTGGAACAGTTTATAAGATGCACAAACAACCCTTGGCACACTCAGCCACGTCATCTTTGAAAAAGGAGCCAAACACACTTACTGGAGGAAAGATAGTCTTTTTAAAAATGGTGCTTGACAAATTGGGTTTCAACTTGCCAAAGATTAAAACTAGACTCACATCTCACCATGAACTAAAGAAAAATTGAAATGGATCAAAAATCTAAATACCAAATCAGTAACACTAAACCAGCTCAAAGTGAGGTTATATAGAAATGCAGGGTAGAAAAAAGATTTCATGAACAAAACCTTAGTTGCAAGTGAACTAGCACAATCAACAACTGGAATCTCATTTTATTAAAAAGCTACTTCATGGCTAAAGTATCCCAACAGAGTGAAGAGACAACCCACATTGTAAAACATTTTACCAGCTGTTTCTCAGACAAAGGTCTACTATCCAGAATATATAAAGAACTTTAAAAAATCAGACTGCCCACACTTAAATATTCAATCTAAAAATGGGCATCTGAAATGAACAGATACTTCTCAGACAAAGAAGTAGAAACAGCAAATACACATATGAAAAACTGTCCAGCATCACTGCTCATTCCAGAGATGCAAATGAAAACAATACTGAGATTCCACTTCTCTCCAGAAAGAATGCCTGCTATCAAGAAATCAACCAATGGCCAGGTGTGGAGGTGCACTTCTGTAATCCCAGCACTAGGGAGGCTGAGACAGGAGGATCACTATGAGTTTAAGACCAGCCTGGACTACATATTGAGCTCCAGGTCAGTCTCAACTACATAACGAGACCTGTGTCAAAAAAAGAAAAAAGAAAAAAGAAAGAAATCAACCAATAACAGTAGGTTGTGGGGGGAAAAATAATTCTTCTCTGTGGAAGGGTGTGTAGACCTGTGCACCTACCATGGAAATCAATATGGAGATACTTCAAAATCTAGGATTAGAGATCCCATTTGACCCAGCCACTAAAACTATTAAAAGAACCATAGCACAACAATATGTGTTCACCAATGTTTATAGCAGCACCATTTGTAATAGCTGCACATTGGAAACAACACAATTGCCCATTAACTGGACACTGCATAAAGATGTGTCTTTTTAATATAAAATGAAGTGCTACATAGCCATAAATAATGAGCAACTAGAGACATTTTTAGCTAAATGAATGCACATTGAGTCTGCTCTCATAAATGAAATAAATGGGACATACTTATGTAAATACCAAATCTTTTTTTCTGGTGTGAGAAATTAAAAGTATAAATAAGGGTCAAATGTATAATAGATACTATGAAATAGGAAAAAAAAAAGGTCTAATGGGGAGAGAAAATTGGGAGTGATATGGGAAAAGGGAGAAGGGAAGGAATAAACAAAAAAATGTTTAACTGTAGTAGAGCCCAGAACACACTATAGGATGTAGTGCTAGGAAATGTTGGGAAGCTGAGGGCTCCTGGCTCAGATCTGTGAACACAGCTCTGTCCTTTTCACCCCACAACCCCTTTCAGAGCAGTCTGTGAGAATCGCAGCAGCTGTCCTGCTTGCACACTCAGCAGTTGGTGAGAGACCAGAGCTGTGACAGCTGAGACATAGGAAGAGCCCCAGGAGTGCTGGGCTGCTGAAAGTCCTCCTCCTCTTCTCCCATCTCTGCACAGGGTGTGAGGAAGGGATCACAGCTAGCCTTGGAAACCAGTTGCATCCCTGCTTCCACCAGCACCTCCTCCCCTCTACAGCCTCCTGTATCACCAGATTCTAGTGTGACAGTTTAATATCCCTCTGGCAACTACTGCACTGAGCTTTTATTCTGATGAATGAACTGGGAGGAGAGAGCAATACCACGGCAACTCTGGGACACAGTAGTTCTACACTGATAAGGAGCTTAGTTACTGCTACACTGGTGATACTGCTGCAGCAGGTGCTATTAACTCAAATGCAGCACATTCCTGAAAACTTCTAAGAGAACTGATGAAGTTCACAATGAAAGAGGAGGTGATAATGCATGAAGCTCAAGAACAAAGGAACCCTCTCAGAATCACAAATACTTTGGGTCAGACAGTTCAGGTCAAGTTGAAGATGGAAACAAACTCAATATTGTGCAGATTTGACTGTTACATTTTAGTATTTTGAAAAATTTTCACATATGGGCTGGGGATTTAGCTCAGTGGTTCTGGTGGCTGCCTCACAAGAGCAAGGACCCAAGTTTTATCCCCAGTACCAAAAGAAAAAAAAATCCCATTTAAGGCTATAGAGTTTGGTAATTTATGTAAGGATTTACATTTCTGTCATTTGGTTCCTTCATGATTTAATATTATATTTAATCTACAATTATTCCTTTATAGTGATAAAATTTTGCCTTTTCCCCCAATTTTCAATTTTTATATACTTTGTTCCATCTATTTAGTGCTTTATCACTGAGATGATGTATATTTCTCTTAGAATATGGTGCATAAAATGAGCTGACATAAACTCATTATTGGGAGATTTCTTTTAGAACAATGAACACAATGATAAATACATTGTTAGTGTGAAGGAAATTTCTGTGACAGCTCAGGAAACTCTGCTGATTGATGTTGTCAGCAGTAGTTCACACTGTGTGATGGCACCTGTGGAAACAAAACATAGACATGTCCCAGAATCAGTGCTGTCAGTTCCCGGTCTTTGCAGCAAGAATCACATTGGCTCATCCAGTGAATGGTGCATGGTGCACTCACTTAACAAGGCCTCAACCTCAGACTCTTGAATTTTTTGACACAAATTATGGTAAAATTCATTAAAGAAATGCCATCAACTGTGATCCAACTATGTATTCCCATTGTCAAGCTGAGATTCCATTCACTCATTGAATGAATTAATAAGAGCACAGAAAACATAGTCAAAGAAATGAACTTAGTCTTGGCATTTAAAAATTTCAGCGAAGAACACTGGTCCTCACACTTAGGAACAGTGAGAGTTAAAGGTAGGATTCAAAGCAGGCATGCTGGCACAGGCTTGTAACCCCAGCACTCTGGGAGTCTGGAGCAGGATGATTGCCCAGCTTGGGCAGCATAACAGCTTAGTGAGACCCATGTCTCAAAATGAAGACAAATAGGGTTAAGAATGTAGCTCAGTAAAAATGTTTAATTCTCTGTAATGCAAATAACATAAAATAAATGATACAACATAACCTAAAGAGATGATTTTAAACTGCAGTTTGAGTTCTGAAGTAGAAAGAGAAGGTAAGTAGTAAAGACTGTCTGTTAGGGTGATGAATGACCCACCATATTTTCTATGCATGTTAAG